AGAGACCGACGGCCAGACAGAGCAGAGCAGCCACAGGCCGACGAGCCAGAGACCCCGGCCCACAGCAGCCAGCAGAGCCACGAGGCCCAGCCAGCCGAGACGCCAGCACGCAGGCCCCCAGAGCACCACGACGACCCCCCGAGCACCCCCGCGCCCCCCCCCCCCCCCCCAGAAGCGACCGCCCCAGGACCGGCAGCCCCAAGCAGACCCCCCGGAAGAGACGGCAGCACGAACGAGACGAGCAGGCCCCCCCCCCCTCCCCCCCCCCCCCCCCGCAGAGCAGCACGAGCCCCCCAGAGCCGGCAGACGAGCACGCAGCAGACGGAACGCCCCCAGGAAGAGAGAGAGAGAACACGCACACACCGCACACACAGGTCACAGATAGACTAGAAAGAGAGCAGGAGAGAGAGAAAGAGAGAGGAGAGAAGAGAGAGAGAGAGAGAAGAGAGGAGAGAGAGAGAGAGAGAGAGAGAGAGAGAGAAGAGAGAGAAGGGAGAGAGAGAGAGAGAAGATAGGGATAGGGATAGAGAGAGAGAGAGAGAGAGAGAAGAGAGGAGAGAAGGAGAGAGACGGAAGAGAGAGAGAGAGAGAGAGAGGAGAACGCCCACCCACGACGCCCACCGCCGCGAAGAGGCCCAAGAGAGCAGAGACCGCGCCCACCAGAGACACGACCCGGCAGAACGAACCGACGCACCCGACGCATGCGCACGCCCACAGCCCCCCCCCAGACGAGCCCGGCAGAGACCGACCGCCCCCCCCCCCCCCGACCGCACCGGACGCCCCCCACCCGCCCCCCCCCCAGCCCCCCGCCACCGCACCGACGGCCCCGGCCCACCGACCCCGAACCGCCACAGCACGCACCGCGCCCACGCCACAACGGCCCAGAGCCCACCCGAGCACCCGCCCCGGCCCCCCCCCCACCGCCCCGCCCCACCGACCCCGCCCCCAGCACGCACGCCCGCAGCCACGCCCCCCCCCCACCCCCCCCCGCCACCCCCGACCCGCACGACCCCCCCCCCCAGAGAGCACGCAGCACCGAGACGCCCAGCACCCCGACGACCACCCGACCGCCACGCCCCCGCCCCCCGCCCCCCCCGCCCAAGCACGCAGAACCCCGCAGCAGACGCAGCCAGAGCCCCCCCAGCACGCACCCGCACGACCGCTACCACACCCCACCCAACCCACCCCCCCCCCCCGCCCCCCCCCCCCCCCCCCTCCCCCACGCCCCCCCCTCCCCCGCCCCCCCCCCCCCCCGCTCCCCCCCCGCCCCCCCCCCACCCCCCCCCCCCCCCCATCAGATATGATGGGGAGGACCCCCCCCACCCCACTACGAGATCCCCACCCCCCCCGCATCACGACCCGCGTGGAGCAGGATCATTATAGAGAGCGAGTAATAATTAGAACGGAGTGTTCGGAAGGGAGTATTGAGTGAGTGAGAGCGCATAGATGAAAAACGAGGTCAAGCATGAGGGGAATATGGAGACTTGTATGTTATACATAGAGAGAGACAGAGGATGAGTGAGTGACAGAGGGCATAGAGCACAGAGAGCGAGACTAGAGACGGAAGAAGAGAGAAGAAGAGAGAGGAGAGAGAAGAGAGAGAGAGAGCTCCAATCCTCGCTCGCGCTCGCAGATCACAAAAGCCATGTTCTTATTTCACAAGTATTCCAACCTGTCCTGCGAGATATCATTTACGAAGTGACCTTAGAACACGCCAGTCTGACCTTCATTGCTCGCATACATGTTATGCTAATGTCTTCATGCATGAATATGTAATGTTTATACTCAAAATGTTTCTTATTCAAAATCACTATGTATATAACTGCCTTTGTCACTGATATTCAAATGTTTATGCTCCATGAACATCCACCAATTCTATCCCTTGACCACAAAATTTTAGGTTGTAAAAACATACCCAGTTTAATGAGCCTGAAACAGTACATAAGGAAATACATGTATTTCTGACGAAGATATATTCGAAACCGGTAAAATACATTGTATTGTGAAGATATTCGCTCTCATTCGTACCTTTCCACATTTGTCAACATGAATATGGTTCAAGGAATCCCTTGTTCCTCTCCGAAATGGTCATTTGACCAGATATTTCTAATTCTTTCATGTTTTCCATTGTGGATTATTTGAATGCGAGCTGTGTTCATGGCAATTCCTGTGCCATCGCGAAACAGACCGCTGCGCCCCTTACAGGCTTGGCAGGACGGCTCCTCTCTTGGGCGTCCCTGCCTTGTCCCTCTGTACCAGTTATCAAGTAATAAGTCAAAATCTGCAAACAATAGCTCTACCACCAACTTTCAAGCGAACCATGTAGTGCCTTACCGGCTCAGCCACCTACCAAGTAGTGGAATAACGCTTCCCACTACGTTACAGAAAGAAAGAGAAAGAGAGTGTAAGTGATAACCCTCCTATATAATGAATACTGGTGGGCAGTAGTGATACACCGATGTGGCTTAACAATTTTATTAATAACACAGGAATGGAGTAGACAGAACACGATATGAATCTTGGTGCTGGTGCCCAAGGTCTGTATAAGTATTTATATAGACCTTACTGGTGCCCGGCCTACCCGCCAGCGAAGCAGGTGATCGCCAGTGGCATGAGGTCGCTCTCTGAGAAGCGAGTAAAAGTGAGTGAGGTCAGCTTGGGTCAACGGCTGCATACGTGGCAGGGCGTGCAAGGAAAACCTACACGGAAAACTACGCGTCCTTTAATAACTATGCGCCGTATAGTTACTAGATAGGAGAGATAGAGGAGAGAGAGAGGAGAGAGAGGAAGAGAGAGGAGAGAGAGGAGAAGAGAGAGAGAGAGAGGAGAGAGAGAGAGAGAGAGAGGGAAGGAGTGGAGAGAGAGAGAGGGGAAAGGGTAGAGAAGGAGGAAGGAGGGGAAGGAGAAGGAGAAGATATAGAGAGATGGAGGGAAAGGAGGAAGAGGAGAGAGAGAGAGATGAGAGAGAGAAGAGAGGAGAGAGGAGAGAGAGGGAGAGAGAGAGAGAGGGAGGAGGGAGAGGAGAGGGAGAGGGGGGGGAGGAGGGGGAGAGGGAGAGGGAGGGGAGAGGAGAGGGAGAGGAGGGAGAGGGAGAGGGAGAGGGAGAGGGGAGGGAGGTGAGAGAGAGAAGGATGAGGAGAGAGGAGAGAGAGAGAGAGAGAGAGATGGAGGAGAGAGGAGAGAGAGAGGAGAGAGAGAGAGAGAGAGGAGGAGAGGAAAGGGTAGAGAGAGCAAGGAGGAGGAGATATATAGAGTGGAGGAAAGAGAGAGAGGAGAGAGAGGAGGAGAGAAGAGAGAGAGAGAGAGGAGAGAGAGAGAGAGGAGAAGAGAGAGAGGAGAGAAGGGAGAGAGGAGAGAGAGAGAGGAGAGAGAGAGGAGAGAAGAGGAGGAGAGAGAGAGAGAGAGAGAGAGAGAGAGAGAGAGAGAGAGAGGAAGGGGAAGGGGTTGATTTAAAAACTCTTCGGCAAAAAGATGGTTACTTCACAAATGGCAGACGAGGTACAATTCGGGTACACTTTAGAGTGAAAGATGTTCTCATACGAACCTAACCGCCCTTGCTGTGCCCTGGATGGTAACATATCGTGCATCATTCTCTCTCTCTCTCTCTTCTTCGGTTTCTTTTATTCACTCTTTTCTTCTCTTTGTTCTTCTCCCTGTACGACAGATGGATTGCCTGTCTATCCATTTATCTATCTCTTGCTGTCTCTCATTGCCAGCATATTTATCCTTTTATCTCAGACATGAAAGCATAAAGACTCACCTCCCCCCGAGGCTGAATAAACAGGAAATGTTCTACCTTTAATTTCTCAAAGCCAATACTGATTGATTTTCCTCTTGAAATAAAACCGTTATTCCCGTTGAGGTGTTTATTATTTAGAGGAGACTGGTCTCATGTTATTCTATAAAGCGTTATCAAGCTATCCTATCGGCTGTGGTGCCGCTTCAGTCTCCCCTCCTCCCTCCCCCCTCTCCTTCGCCTTTCCATGAACTTGACATTGCCATGGGATCCCCTCGCGGACGGATATATCATGCCTCCGTATTATATATATGTTATATATTATATATATTATATTATTATATATTATATGTATTATATATATATATATATAATATACATATACTGTAGTTATATTATTATATATATATATATTATATATATTATTATATATATATATATATTTACTATATATATACATATATGTATATTTATTATATTATATATATATATTATATATATATACATATACATTATTATATATTATATATTTATATATAATTATATTTTATATATATATTATACATATTTACTATACATAACATATACATATACATTACATTATATAATATATATAATATATTATATATATATATATATATATATTATATACACACACACACACACACACACACACACCACACACACACACACACACACACACACACACACACAGCGCACACACACACACACACACATTATGTATATATATATATATTATATATATATATATTATATATATATATATATATATATATGAATATATGTATATATAATATATATATATATATATATATATATATATATATATATATATATGTGCATATGCATGTTTATGTATACATACACATATATATGCGTATACATACATACATGCACACACACACACATATTTAAATTCATATATATACATACATAAATATATATGTATATCTATCTACATATATATTATATACATTTATCTACTTATCTATATCTACTTATATGTATTTGGCTTCATGTCTCTTATTGCAGTGTATGTCCCTACTGAAGTTTGTAAACTTGACGTGAAAGAGATGTTCTACTCGCACTAGCATCTGCGTCAGAAAGCGTCCATGGCGAGATATTCGTATTGTTCTGGGTAACTTCATTGCGGTATCTGGCTGCGATCGAGCTGGCTATGAGATGTCTGTCGGTCCTCATGATTTAGGAGCTGATGCCAGAAGCGAGTATAGCTTCCTTTTCCGGGACTTTGCAAGGTTCCAAAAATTGAGGATTTCTGGCTCCTGGTACCAGCGCTCAGACTCACATCGTTGGATGTGGTACAGCAATGAGGGTAGTGCAGCCAAGGAGATTGACCACATCTTCGTTAGCACTCGTTAGAGGATCCTCCAGAACTGCAGGGTGTATAGGAGTGCCGAGTTCTGTGGTAATGACCATAGAATGGTTGTGGCTACCCTCTGGGTCCACTTCAAAACTCCCCAGCGGTCCAGAGATCACCCTAGGGTGTTTCATTTGGACAGGTTGAGAGAGGGAGAGTATGCCCTGGGGTTTGCTGAGGCAATTTAGTTGTTTCACAGCGCTTGACAATCTGACAGACCCTGTACTTCTGTGGCACACCTTCAAGCATAAAACGCTTGATTCAACTCAAAAATCGATTGATGAACGCCGGAGAGCGTTGTGCAGCTCGTCCGACAGGGGATCGGGATTTGCACCGTTCTCAGGAGATTGAAAACCATTTCTTAATGAATAACCTTCGTCCTGCATACCAAGCCCTGAGAAAGCTGAACTCCAAACCCTCTCCACAAGTGATTGCAGTTCGCTTAGTAAGTAGCCAGATCGTCTCAGATCCTGTTGCAGTGCAGGAATGTTGGGCTGAGTATTTCGAGGAGTTATACCAGGTTGATCCACCAATAGTTAACTTGGATAGGGGTAGTGCCGAGATTCCTTTGCCGGACCCACCCATCAGTAAGGATACCCCCTCCCTAACTGTAGTGGGGCGATCTCTAAGCTAAGGAGTGGTAGAGCAGCAGGTATCTGTGGCTTCCCAAATGAACTGTTAAATGCTGGTAATGAACCTATGGCATGGAGGTTGCATGTCTTGGCTGCCATCTGGCAATCCGGTACTATACCCCCTGACCTGTTGAGGGGTGTGGTCTTTCCTCTCTGGAAGGTGAAAGGGGATCGATGGGACTGCAGCAATCACCGAAGCATCACACTGCTCAGTATACCGGGCAAGATTCTCGCCCACATCTTTCTAAAACGTACCAGAGACCACCTGCTGAGGCACCAGAGGCCGATCAATCTGGATTCACTCCTGGTAAGTCCACAATAGACCGTATCCTGGCGCTTCGAATCATTGTAGAGCGTCACCATGAGTTCGGGAATGGGCTGCTTACAGCCTACAAGAAGGCATACGATACGGTGCATCGGGAATCACTCTGGGAGATCCTGAGATTGAGAGGAATTCCAACAAGGATTATTAGACTAGTAAGCCTGTATATTGGTACTGAAAGTGTTGTAAAGTGTGGTGGGGGCCTGTCGAGCTTCTTTCCTGTTAGTTCAGGAGTGAGGCAAGGCTGTGTCCTTGCACCAACGCTTTTCAATACTTACATAGACTGGATAATGGACAGAGCTACTGTTCAAAGCCATTGTGGAGCAACTCTGGGCAATATCAAGGTTACTGACCTTGATCTTGCTGATGATGTTATTCTATCTGAGTCTTTGGAAACCTTAGTGGTGGCTCTGGATGCATTTAGCAATGAAGCGAAACCACTAATTCTAGAGGTCTGTTGGGTCAAGACCAAGATCCAGGACTTTGGGGACTTGCTAGGAGAACCAAGGTCACCTAAGAGAAAGGTAGTGAAACCTGGTCGTTATCCTGAGCCTTGAAGTCTCATGGGGTACTGTTGGCGGGACCACATGTCCAACCAATGGTTGCACTGTGAGACTGGCACAGGACCTGTTACTTGCACAATCCGTGATCGCCAACTCAGGTTATATAGCCACCTGGCTCACTTTCCACAGGATGATTCTGCCCACTAGGTTGTCTCTGTATGAGACAACCCTGGGTGGAGGAGGCCTGTGGGACGACATAGAAAAACGTGGCTTGGGTAGATCGATCAGACCTGTCGCGAGAAGCTCGAGATAGGCCAAGTCCCTGCCTGGCAGCTTGCCATGAGGGATCCTCGTAGGTGGAAACGAAGGGTGGATGTGGTTCTGCGCCCCCGTCGGCGTTAGCTCCCCGATGATATATATATATATATATATATATATATATATATATATATATATATATATATATATTACACACACACACACACACACATATATATATATATATATATATATAGAGAGAGAGAGAGAGAGAGAGAGAGAGAGAGAATACTGTGTATATACATATATATGCACATATACATGTACGTTATATATAATATATATATATATATATATATATATATAATGTACATGTATATGTGCATATATATGTATATACACAGTATCTCTCTCTCTCTCTCTCTCTCTCTCTCTCCTCTCTCTCTCTCTCTCTCTCTCTCTTCTCTCTCTATATATATATATATATATATATATATATATATGTGTGTGTGTGTGTGTGTGGGTGTGGGTGTGTGTGTGTGTATATATATATATATATAATATATATATATATATATATATATATATATATAAATATATATATATATATATATATATATATATATATATATATATATGTAAGATTCACA